CTAAAGGCTTCAGTTGCCACCTGGCAAATAGTCCTCCTGTCTCCAGAACTTCACCTAGCCCTTTTGTGTGACCTCCATGTCTATGTGAGAATCATTTGTCACCAAACCTGTTTTTCCTGCACCACACCTCAGGATACCGAGATAAACCAATCAAACATTTGAATGTTTAGCGATCTAATCTCCCACCTTTTGTCTATACTTGGGAACCTTTCCAGACTGCCTTGACTGGACCATTTGTGGTCAGAAAACCCATTCAACTAGCCACCCCGTACCTGGCTGATTTAATCAAGGCCATTGGCCTGACTCTGCCCCTCTGGAACATCATTGGTTACATCCAGGTCTGGTTCCTTCTGAGGCCGCACCCCCTGGGACCCAGGATTGGCCCAGGTAATCTTTTGTCCTCACCTGAGACAAGCCCCTCAAGACCGCCCATTGTTTTCCAAAGTCTACATCCGTCCATGCGCACACATACACACTCTCTTCTTCTCTGCCCCCTCACAGCGCATAACGCTGGCTGTTGGCGCTATTCTCTTCAAGGACTTCTGCACGTCTGGACAAGGTAATATTACCCAGTAACTGACCCCTCTATTTGCTATCAATCACCTCTGCTTTCTTAGTTCTGTATTGCTTGCTCTTTTTGAATGTTTAGTATGCTTGTAATAAGGGAAATACTTTAATACAAGGTATTTAATCTACTCTTCAGATCTGGAGTTTTCCTCCTGTGCCGGATCTTAGCATACAAGTGGTATGCGATTCCTGTACCCCTTTGGCTTACCCTGCCGCATAGCTAACTTCCCCAAACAATAAAACAGGCCATTGGTGGTAACAGCGACTTGATAGCATTTAACACACAAACATTCTCCTGGTCCTTTCAATGAATATGTTGCCAAGGATTGGCTTCCAAAAAAGTAGCGTGGTACTAGTTTTCCCTGTAAAATGGATATGATTTCTGCTTGCCAAATCTAAAGCTTATCACTGAAAATGCTTAAGAACATTAAAAAAAACCCCAGATCATAAATCTCCCTTTCCAGCAGCATAAAAAGGCACTCTGTTAGCATCAACAGGAGTCATTTCCTACAGGGGTGCACAGGAGCGGAGCTCCTGCAGTAAAGAGCCCAGGGGGCGGGCACATGCAACAAGCCCCACCCCCCGCTCCCAGCAGCCCTCAGTCAGACCAAGAAGCAGCCAGTTAAGTTGCAGAGCACCTCCGCTCCAAAACAGTCCAGTGGCACCTTTAAGACCAAGTTTTATTCAGGTACAAGCTCTCCCTCCTCTGCGAGGGCAGATCTGCACGTTCCCCCCCAATAGCTAGCAATCCAAAACAGTCCAGTGGAGCCTTCTGACACACTTCCGGTGATGTCAGGGGGTGTGGCATATGCAAATAAGTTATGCTAATGAGCTCCTGCACCTCTTTTTCTACGAAATGACCCCTGACTGCATCAGCATACCTTGAGGTGAGGCAGCTGGCAGGGCCCAGAGTTTCTGCCAGGGCCCGCTGTGGCCAGCATCCCCTGCCCACTCACTTGTTGACATTCAACCACCCATGCTCCCTGGTACACTTGCTGCCGCACCATCTCTGCACTGGGTAAAGGCCTGCAGGCAGCTGTAAGTATGGACAGTGAGAAGGCTTGTGAGCAGATAAGGGAAGGACACACAAGAAGGTGACATGGCATGCAGGTGGGTGGGAGGGCATGAGTGCCTGATGGCGGGTAGAGGAGGGGAGGGGTGACCTGGGGAGCTCTCAGCTCAGGGCCTACCAAAACCTGGAACTGGCCCTGCTGTGCCCATTGGTGGGCTGATGAAATCAGACGTGGAGTCTACCGGGAGGCAATCCAGTCCCCACCAGTGTCCCCTCTAATCTGAGTTAGTCTGAGCTAGCTCACAGTTTTTTTAGCCTCTGGCTCACAGAGCCAAATCACTTGCTCACAACTTTAATACCAGTAGCTCGCAAAGTAGAATTTTTGCTCACAAGACTCCACAGCTTAGACTCCCCACTGCGGAGAAAAGCAGGGTATAAATACCTAATTCTGACCATTTATTTATTTATTTGAGATTTATATCCCGCCCTACCCCGCAAACTGCCCTGCTCTCCATTGATACTTGTCATTCTTGAAAGTGATGCAAGACTCCAGATTGGTTTTGCTGCAGCTGACTGAAGACAGCTACTCTTCTAGGATCAGGGGTCGTTTCGTAGAAAAAGAGCTAGGGGAACTCATTAGCATAACTCATTAGCATATGCCACACCCCCTGACATCACCGGAAGTGTGTCATAAGGCCACACACCCCGCCCCCAACGGTTCCGGCCACCGCTGCCGGCCTTGCAGCTCCACTGCTGAGCCCTATGAGGGGCCCGGCGGGGGACCTGCAAGGCTGGCGGGAGTGCAAGGAAGCCCCGCGAAGGCCCTCCCTGGCCCCAGGCAGGCAGGGGTGGGGAGAGGCAGGGAGGAAGCGACTTACCGTCCCTCTTCTCCTGCCTCCTCCTGGCTGAATGAGGGCCGGAAGCGGGGCGGCTGGAAGCAGGGGGCGGGGCTTCGTCATGTGCCCCGCCCCCGTACCTCACCCAGGGGAACTGCGATCCCCCGCGATCCCCCCGAAATGACCTCTGTCTAGGATTTATAACAATGTCTTCCAACTGTGACAAACAGGAGCAATAACTCGTTTAGGCAGAAGGCACCTTTCATATCCTGGCACCGTATTTATTTAATACAGTGCTGAAATCTGGACTCTGAGTACCAGAGAGCCAGTTTGGTGTAGTGGTTAAGTGCGCTGACTCTAATCTGGGAGAACTGGGTTTGATTCCCCACTCCTCCACTGGCACCTGCTGATGTGACCTTGGGTCAGTCACAAGCTCTGGCACAGCTGTCCTTGAAAAAGAGCAGTTTCTGTCAAGAGCTCTCTCAGCCCCACCCACCTCACAGGGTGTCTGTTGTGAGGAGGGGAAGGGAAAGGAGTTTGTAAGCCGCTCTGAGACACCTTTGGGTAGTGAAGGGCGGGGTATAAATCCAATCTCTTCTTATTATTATTATTTGTCCCTTATTACTAGACCGCGTCCTTCAAAATGTTCCCAGCGGACTGATTACCATTTCCTCCTTTCTGGTTTTTTCCTTCCTCAACTGATATTTTAAGTACTGTTTAAAAATTGTTGCCTTATTCCTATTTGATATTGGTGTTTTGAAACCCACAATTATTGGACACTGGTCTTTATTTGGTGAGGGGGATGCAATGTAGGCTAAGATAGGCATAAATGGATAAGTTAAGGCAAGGGAGGGAGATGGCTGGGGGGAGGAAAGGGGGGCTAGACTTGGCCAATTTTTACTGGTTGATGGCACCTATTTTTTGTTGTCATGTCTGCAGAGGCTTCAGTCCTGATATGCAGGGTCAGAACATGGAGCAAAAAGGTGGTATCTAAAATAGGTGCCATCAACTGCTAGTAGCTGTTTTACCGCAAAGGAACTTCAGGAACAGACTAGAAAGGGAAACTGCTGAATCACAAGTTATTACAGCACTTGGAACAAAAATTCCTCAGGACTTAACAAGGATATTGGTTTCTTATCTCACTACATATGCTAATCTCATTTAGTCCTTATATCTGTATTCTCACCAAGGGCCATACATACTCTTTATTTTATTGCATATCTTATTTTGGCCCTCCTAGGCCCCAGAGACGTCAGATTGGCAGCAACCAATGTTCCCTCTAAGCTGTGGAGTCTTGTGAGCAAGAATTCTTTGTGAGCTACTGGCATTAAAGTTGTGAGCGAGCGATTTGGCTACTGCATAGCTTAGTTTGCTCTGGAGCCACCTTTCCTGAGCTGAGACAAATGTGTGAGCCAGAGGCTAAAAAACTGAGCTAGCTCACACTAACTCAGCTTAGAGGAAACACTGGCAGCAACCAGGGCCAGGGCCTTCTCGGTGGTGGCTCCATCCTGGTGGAATAAGCTCCTGGTAGAGATCAGGGCCCTGCGGGACCTCTTACAGTTCCGCAGGGCCTGCAAGACAGAGCTCTTCTACCAGGTGTTCGATTAAGGAGCTGCAGTACACACTGGGGAATGTCCCTGGGCCCTGGCTTTCCGGTCTGTAACCTGGGTCCTACCATCAAGGTTCTTAGCTTGTGCTCGCCGCATAATAAATAAAAATTGTGCTGGTATAAAAATATTGACATCCAACAGGCACCTAAACTATGTAATAAGAACTGCTCCGCTTGTTGTTTGAGTATTTTCCAGCATTTTATGTATTTATGTTTCAAATTATTGTTATTTTAAGTAATTTATAAGTTTATGATAAGATTTTATTGTATTTTACTGTATTTAATTGTATCTTTGAATTGTTGGAAGGTGCCCTGAGCCTGCCTCGGTGGGGAGAGCGGGAGATAAGTCAAATAAATAGAAATACTACTACTAATAATAATAACTTGGAATAGTAAATTATGTATTTGAGCAATTGTGCCTGCACATGAAAGCGTATACCTTGAATAAAACTTTGTTGGTCTTAAAGGTGAGACTGGATTCGAATTATGACCTCACCTTGTCTTTAAAAATAAGATTAAGGGAACGGGCTACATAAATTTTGTAAACGAATCCTTCTGAAGTGGTGCAAAGCGCATCTGCTTCACCAAGGAACAATGCACAGCTGTAGATGCACAGACGTAGATACGAGACCTGGTGTGCAAACAAGAATGCTTCTGAGTTTGTGCAAAGTGCATCACCATAACACCCGCGTCGTCATAAACGCTGCAAGGAGAATAAGATCCTCAGCTGACTCGGCCTCCCCTTACAATGCCTCTTTGAGCTTCCGCAACACACTCCTCTTGGGATCACAGGACCCATTTTAACTCACGCTTGCGCAGTAACCCCCGCCTCCCGCCCCCCTCAATTGGGCATGCGCGCTGAGACACAGTTTGCGCGTGCGCCTCAAATCTACGGACGCCTATGGCTTCTTTCCCTGCCTTCACACAGACTGAGCATGCGCACTGAAAGGAGGCGGAGAAGGCTGGGGCGGCTTACCTTCTCCTCAGCGCTTTCCCTTTTCGCCTCACAGTCTCCCGGCGCGCATGCGCGCTGCCATCCCGGCCCGCTCCCTCTCTCTCTCTCTCTCTCTCTCTCTCTCACCCCGGTCTACCTCGAGGAGGAGGGGAGGAAAGAGGCGGAGGGAGGAGGATGGAGGAGGAGGCGGCGCGTGGCGGAGGAGGCCGCCGCTGGCCGCGCTTGCTGGGCTGGAGGAGTTGCCGGCGGGCGGCGGGCCTCTGAGGGGAAGAAGCAGGAAAGGAGGAGGAGGGGGGGGAGAAAACAGCCCGCGCGCACCTGAGGG